GGTTTCGTGCGTGCTTAACAGCGAAGTAAAGGAGTTCCGCGGCTATCATCTGTGACTTGATTGATCTGATGAGTTTGCATACACCTACTGGTGCAGACAGCTTGTTCAGGCTGTCTTCCGCAATTGTTGCTACGGGCTTGTTTCGTGCACATGCACTATACTGCCATGACAGCCGTTGCTCCTACTACCCTCCTGCTTCGACAACGGGGTGCGACTACCTTTGCACGTTGCTCTCAGTATACTATCCCGCTTCTCCAAGGATGCTTAATTCTATTGCCCTCACGCCGAAGATCCCTCTCACTGCTACGACGATGACGGCCACTGCAACACTTCTGTTTCCACTGCAGCCTCTCCCTGCCAAAAGCTACTGCCACTGCTGCCCCGCCACTGCTGCTGCCGCCGTTGTTTCCGCTGCTACAACTACGACGTGTCAGTGCTGTTTACCTTGACGACTGCTTTCGTAACGAGCTGTTCTTAAAAGCTGTTCTAAAAGCTGTGCTGGACAAGACGACTGTGTTCAATCGCTTCCCGTGCAGTAAGCGCACGGCTGTGCATCAGCCCACCACTGCCACCACTGCCGGTGCCCCCGGCACTGCCGCCACCAACCACCACCCAAAACAAGCCACTGTGTTTGATGCGTCTTTCATTGCAAGCTGATCAGTTCTCAGTTCTCCCAGCCAATTCGCATGTTTGCAACATGATCGGCTTTAGGTTGCCTTAGTCTATCGGTGTATCCAGGATTGGCGAGCTTTTGCGCAAAGAGGAGACGGTCCTACCTGGGCGTCATGCAGGCTTCTGGCCTGACAGGTTTGCTGCGTTTGAGGGTTTAGGGTTTTCCTGCTGATGTAGTGACTACAGCAGCTCTCGGAGTGTCGAAGCAGTTGCGGAGTCTCGAAGCAGTTGTTGAAGACGAGTTGCCTCCGCAGTGTCAGCAAAGTCCGTGGAGCCAAACGCCGAAACGTTGACCCCTCAATGAAACCTCTCTACACAGAGACTCAACTTCGATTCATGGCAAACTTCAGCAAGTCAACACAAGTACAGCGTGTCGCCGCAGGCTGGATTGAAGGCTTTGGTGTTGTTTTGATGGGCTTTCGTGCAAGATGTGCACGTGACACGGTTGGGGGGGTTGGTAAGAGGCTTTGGGACCCTTTCTTGTCGAAGGGTGGTGCGGCTCCGTGCTTCGCGGCCGCAGTCTTATCATGGTAGTCCTCCCGGCTTGTGGCACCTAAGGTGGAGCCTCCGATTGCCGGCAACATGCCTGACTTCGATGTCGAGCGGGTCGCACCACTTTGGGGTTCAGATTTTCGGATTCAGATGGAGAGCTTTAAATGCGTGCAGATGGTGGCACTGGCAGTGCTGCTGGTCCGTGGAAGGATTTCTTAAAGGGTGTCGACTCTTTCCCTGATAAAGCGTGTAACGTTTACCGGTTTAGCCTTCAGGGTGTCGGGTTTTGCGGTGGGGCTTACGGTTGGCTGGCATGATCTGGAGCGCGGGTTTAGGCTTAAGCCTCGCATTGCTAACTGCTCCACGCGCCCAAACCTAAACCCTCAGAACTGAAGCCTTCTAGTCTCAGGGAAGCGCCGATAACGACGCCATGGCCGATTGCATGCGTCCGAAGGTACCATGAACTGCATGAACCAGAACTTGATCGTCCAGCAGCCTGCAGAGGTTGGTCCTGGCAGGACCGTCAATGTTCGCAATAGCATCGCAGGTTCCAGCTTTGAGCTGGACGTCAACTCTGCCGAAACGGGGCAAGAAGTAGCGAAACGCATCGCAGCCAAAGTTGGCCACAAAGGTCTACTCGGGCTGACATCCGTTCATTGTCCCATCGATCAGTGCCAGCTGCTGCTGCCTCAAGTCCAGCACGACGAGATCTCGTACCTGGCGTGGAAGCTTGGAGCGGGTGGTGTCGCGATGCTTTGGGAGCGGCTACTCGAGGGGAAGACTCTGTCTGATGTAGATGTAGCTGCCCTGAACGAGACGATGTCCCTCACATTATATTCCAACCAAGAGCTCACCCAGGGCATCCAACTTGCCAGCAGCCTGCAGAGTTTGGAGTTTGGCTCCCAGTTCAACCAGAGCTTGGATGGCATCCAACTACCCAGCAGCCTGCAGAGTTTGACGTTTGGCTTCCAGTTCAACCAGAGCTTGGATGGCATCCAGCTACCCAGCAGCCTGCAGAGTTTGACGTTTGGCCACGAGTTCAACCAGAGCTTGGATGGCATCCAGCTACCCAGCAGCCTGCAGAGTTTGGAGTTTGGCTCCCAGTTCAACCAGAGCTTGGATGGCATCCAACTACCCAGCAGCCTGCAGAGTTTGACGTTTGGCTTCCAGTTCAACCAGAGCTTGGATGGCATCCAGCTACCCAGCAGCCTGCAGAGTTTGGAGTTTGGCAGGGAGTTCAACCAGAGCTTGGATGGCATCCAACTACCCAGCAGCCTGCAGAGTTTGACGTTTGGCTACGAGTTCAACCAGAGCTTGGATGGCATCCAACTACCCAGCAGCCTGCAGAGTTTGACGTTTGGCTTCCAGTTCAACCAGAGCTTGGATGGCATCCAACTACCCAGCAGCCTGCAGAGTTTGGAGTTTGGCTACAAGTTCAACCAGAGCTTGGTTGGCATCCAACTACCCAGCAGCCTGCAGAGTGTGAAGCTTGGCGGGGAGTTCAACCAGAGCTTGGATGGCATCCAACTACCCAGCAGCCTGCAGAGTTTGACGTTACGCTCCGAGTTCAACCAGAGCTTGGATGGCATCCAACTACCCAGCAGCCTGCAGAGTTTGACGTTTGGCTACGAGTTCAACCAGAGCTTGGATGGCATCCAACTACCCAGCAGCCTGCAGAGTTTGACGTTTGGCGACGAGTTCAACCAGAGCTTGCATGGCATCCAACTACCCAGCAGCCTGCAGAGTTTGGAGTTTGGCGACGAGTTCAACCAGAGCTTGGATGGCATCCAACTACCCAGCAGCCTGCAGAGTTTGACGTTTGGCTTCGAGTTCAACCAGAGCTTGGATGGCATCCAACTACCCAGCAGCCTGCAGAGTTTGAAGCTTGGCGGGGAGTTCAACCAGAGCTTGGATGGCATCCAACTACCCAGCAGCCTGCAGAGTTTGACGTTTGGCTACGAGTTCAACCAGAGCTTGCATGGCATCCAACTACCCAGCAGCCTGCAGAGTTTGGAGTTTGGCAAGGAGTTCAACCAAGGCTTGGAGGGCATCCAACTACCCAGCAGCCTGCAGAGTTTGGAGTTTGGCTTCGAGTTCAACCAGAGCTTGGATGGCATCCAACTACCCAGCAGCCTGCAGAGTTTGACGTTTGGCTTCCAGTTCAACCAGAGCTTGGATGGCATCCAGCTACCCAGCAGCCTGCAGAGTTTGGAGTTTGGCAGGGAGTTCAACCAGAGCTTGGATGGCATCCAACTACCCAGCAGCCTGCAGAGTTTGACGTTTGGCTACGAGTTCAACCAGAGCTTGGAGGGCATCCAACTACCCAGCAGCCTGCAGAGTTTGGAGTTTGGCTTCGAGTTCAACCAGACCTTGGATGGCATCCAGCTACCCAGCAGCCTGCAGAGTTTGACGCTTGGTTCCAATTTCAACCAGAGCTTGGATGGCATCCAACTACCCAGCAGCCTGCAGAGTTTGACGTTTGGCGTCCACAACCAGAGCTTGGAGGGCATTAAACTACCCAGCAGTCTGCGAAGTGTCGCTGCACGGGAGTTTTGTGTAGCCACGTTCTAAGCAATGATGCTCTAGGTTGGCTCCTTCAACATCGACTGGGTCGAATGTTTTCGTCGCCAGGGCGGCTCGTCTCGCCGATACCACGTTGTCGCTCCTTGATGACTTTGCTGGATCCCGAACCCAGCCCGACTGTTCCAGCAGAGGTTGAGCGAATCAGGAAACCCACGTCCCGATGCCGCGCAGAAAAAATCGCTGAGTTTTGCAAACTGTTGGCCTACGCAGAGCCTGATTATCCTGATTCTGATAGGGTTTCCGGTTTTCCAGCCTATCCCTGCAGTCCCCAAGCCTTCTGGTGCCGCCAGAGCGAGTACATCAAGTCCGGGCTGCGACGGAAGTGCAGGCCTGGAGCGGCGAAACTTTGTTTTTTTTAAGCTTTAAAGAGTCACTGTTCCATGTCAGAGTCAGAGCATCGATTCACAGCTGGAAACCTGCTGAAGTTTTCTGAGGGAATCCTATTGCAGGAAAGCTAGTTTCGAGCTGTCGCACCTCCCATTGTACTGCTTGGCTCGTACGATGTAGCGGAGTGTATAAGGACCTCAAAGCTTCCTTGAGGTTGTAAGGCTTCGACTTTAGCGCTGCAGCGTTAGGGGACAGGGTGCAGGTCTCGGGATCTTAGATGCTGCCGCTTGTTCTATCGGGTAGGGTGGGAGGGGTTGTGGGTCGCAGGCATTGGAGCTAGGGACTACAAATCCAGCCTTGAATGCACCGTTTCGGGCTATTCTGTTGATGAGTGAGCGCTTTAGGAGTATTGCTCCGGTGGATTCATGCTTCACGATCTTCAAAAGTGCTTCCTCCCTCCCAATAAATGACCCTGCCCAAGTTCCGAACAATCCATTGTAGGGAGTCGGGTATTTGTACGATGTAGAACCGTTAGCGTAGTAGTAGTAGCAGCAGTAGTAAACTGATTGCCCAGACAGAGAGAGAAAGAGAGAAAGAGAGAGGGAACAGAGAGAACGAGAAAGAGATGGAGGCAGAGAGAGAAAGAGCAAGAAAAGGAGAGAGCGAGAGAGACAGAGACAGAGAGAGAGAGAGAGACATTTTGGCTCAAGAGCTTGGATCAACATCCTGAGCCATTCCTCGCGCTGGGCATGCATGCTGCGGATTCGGAGCATGTCTGGCGAAGATCTCGTGATCTCGTTGCGATTGATGTGGCGAGCTCTCTGGAGACACTCTCTTCAGAGCTTAAATCCCAAATCTAAAAAGTTCCTAAACCCCGACCACACCCCCACATCTTAAACTCCGCATTTTGAGCCCCCTGCGCCGCCATGGTCGCACCACTGACAGACGAGAAGAGTGTGCGAGAGCTGTCGACGGGCCTGCACAACTGGTTTTCCGAGGGGCTGCAGATCCCGATCCGGAAGCGGGACGAAAAGGTATGAAAAGGTGTTCGCAGCTTTCCTCGGTGTGCTGCGCAGCTCCAACCCGCTCTTCAGCCAGAGAGCCGCCAAAACAGACCTGCGCAAGCCCTATACCTGTTGACACAGCGCTTCCCAACCGTCCACACTGGACGACGGCTGCATTACCCGGATGTCTACGTGGCCAAGCAAGAAGTCCTGGACGTAGACAAGCTTTCGTGCGTGCTCTGGCGATTACTGCTGTGGCTTTTTCTGGGCATTGGCAGATGTCAGCACAGAGCTTGGCATGCAATCAAAGGTATGCCTTGTGCCAAGTCGTACACAGGGCAAAAGACTCAACCGCGGGAGGTGCTGCGCTTTGTTTGCACAACTGTAGCTGCCGCGGCTCGCTCATGAGCATGATCGTCTCGCACGGGCTGGACAAGAAATCTCGCCTCGCCACCAAGAGGTTTTTCTGCTTGTACGTGCGGCACGCACAATTCCCGCCTTGGTCCGCGCGTTTCAAGATGGCCCGGAGCAGTTCCACGCCATGGTGGCCAAGATGCCAGGGCTCCGCGGTGAGCTGTCCAGTACAGGAGCTCCTACCTAATCATGGTTGTGGCAGAGAGCTAGGGTGGGGCGATTTTCGTTGCCTTTTGGGGCGCCAAGAACTGCGCCAAAACATACCTGACGGTGCCACTCAAAACTGGCAGGGCATCCGCCGCGTACTATATATCACTTGGCCAAGCTCTGTCCCAAGCTGGAGAAGACCATCGGAAACTGCACAACTTCCTGCCAAGCTGAAGAAGAAAGTTGACATCTTCGACGTCGAGCCAGCCCGGTGTGGTGCGTTTATCCATGCGAAGCAGGCTCAGGCCCTGCGTGCCATGGGCAGCACTGACTGGATGCGGTGAGGCGGCTGCCCGTTCCCGCAGGTTTCATCGCTTACACGGCGGCTGCGGGCGTGCCTGATCCGGAGAACGTGCAGCATTTGTTGAAACAAGTTGCGGGGGCGAAGTTGCTTAGCTCTCAAGGACATGTCCTACAAAGACATCAAGATCACCATGCTGCCGAAAGCACCGATGACCAACAGAAGCTCGTGCTGTCCGGGCACTGAAGCACACCACGCTGAGGTGACGCATCAAGATGAAGTGGCACGACTGCACGTTGCGTCCTGGAACCTGGGCGGCATGAGCCCGGACAAAGTCCTTGATCTGCTGGTCGGCTTCCAGGGTTGCCCTGCACTTTCAGTACTTTAGGTGATTGTTCTTCAAGAGATTGTCACCTCAGGGGATGAACCCCATTTCGATCACAACGACACATGGACTCTCGCACATAGCAAACAGCCCTCTGAATGGCGTTCTCGGGACACATTTCCCACAGATTTACGATTGAGCAAATTGCATCTGCTCTGCAAGACTGGGAATGAGCGCCCGCCTTCAAATGCACTCGCCTGCTCGTCGGCCTAGATGCCAATGAGACCTACCTGCAACCGGGGGGCGTCCTCGGTAACACCACGCTCTCGTGCACAGGCCGGGGGGAGCAGATTCTCCAGTGGTTCTTAGACCGTGACGTCTACACTTGCCTTTGCAGCAGATGCATGCTCCCTCGCATCCCTTACATTCCATTGCAGGGAGTCGGGTATTTGTACGATGTAGAACCATTACTGCGGTAGTAGTAGTAGTAGTAGCAGTAGTAGCAGTAGTAGTAGTAGGAGGAGTATAGCAGTAGTCGACTGATTGCCCAGACAGAGAGAAAGGGAGAAAGAGAGAGGGAACAGAGAGAGAGAACGAGAAAGAGATAGAGGGCAGAGAGAGAGAGAGAGAGAGCAAGGAAAAGAGAGAGCGAGAGAGAGAGAGAGAGAGATTTTGGCTCAAGAGCTTGGATCAACATCCTGAGCCATTCCTAGCGATGGGCATGCTGTGGATTCGTAGCGTGTCTGGCGAAGATCTCGTGATCTCGTGGCGATTAGTGTGGCGATTGATGTGGCGAGCTCTCTGGAGACACTCTCTTCAGAGCTTAAATCCCAAATTTAAAAACTTCCTAAACCCCGACCACACCCCCAAATCTTAAACTCCGCATTTTGAGCCCCCTGCGCCGCCACGGTCGCACCACTGACAGACGAGAAGAGTGTGCGAGAGCTGTCGAAGGGCCTGCACAGCTGGTTTTCCGAGGGGCTGCAGATCCCGATCCGGAAGCGGGACGAAAAGGTGTTCGCAGCTTTCCTCGGTGTGCTGCGCAGCTCCAACCCGCTCTTCAGCCAGAGAGCCGCCAAAACAGACCTGCGCAAGCCCTATACCTGTTGACACAGCGCTTCCCAACCGTCCACACTGGACGACGGCTGCATTACCCGGATGTCTACGTGGCCAAGCAAGAAGTCCTGGACGTAGACAAGCTTTCGTGCGTGCTCTGGCGATTACTGCTGTGGCTTTTTCTGGGCATTGGCAGATGTCAGCACAGAGCTTGGCATGCAATCAAAGGTATGCCTTGTGCCAAGTCGTACACAGGGCAAAAGACTCAACCGCGGGAGGTGCTGCGCTTTGTTTGCCCAACTGTAGCTGCCGCGGCTCGCTCATGAGCATGATCGTCTCGCACGGGCTGGACAAGAAATCTCGCCTCGCCACCAAGAGGTTTTTCTGCTTGTACGTGCGGCACGCACAATTCCCGCCTTGGTCCGCGCGTTTCAAGATGGCCCGGAGCAGTTCCACGCCATGGTGGCCAAGATGCCAGGGCTCCGCGGTGAGCTGTCCAGTACAGGAGCTCCTACGTAATCATGGCTGTGGCAAGGAGCTAGGGTGGGGCGATTTTCGTTGCCTTTTGGGGCGCCAAGAACTGCGCCAAAACATACCTGACGGTGCCACTCAAAACTGGCAGGGCAACCGCCGCGTACTATATATCACTTGGCCAAGCTCTGTCCCAAGCTGGAGAAGACCATCGGAAACTGCACAACTTCCTGCCAAGCTGAAGAAGAAAGTTGACATCTTCGACGTCGAGCCAGCCCGGTGTGGTGCGTTTATCCATGCGAAGCAAGTTCAGGCCCTGCGTGCCATGGGCAGCACTGACTGGAAGCGGTGAGGCGGCTGCCCGTTCCCGCAGGTTTCATCGCTTACACGGCGGCTGCGGGCGTGCCTGATCCGGAGAACGTGCAGCATTTGTTGAAACAAGTTGCGGGGGCGAAGTTGCTTAGCTCTCAAGGACATGTCCTACAAAGACATCAAGATCACCATGCTGCCGAAAGCACCGATGACCAACAGAAGCTCGTGCTGTCCGGGCACTGAAGCACACCACACTGAGGTGACGCATCAAGATGAAGTGGCACGACTGCACTTTGCGTCCTGGAACCTGGGCGGCATGAGCCCGGACAAAGTCCTTGATCTGTTCGTCGGCTTCCAGGGTTGCCCTGCACTTTCAGTATTTTAGGTGATTGTTTTTCAAGAGATTGTCACCTCAGGGGATGAACCCCATTTCGATCACAACGACACATGGACTCTCGCACATAGCAAACAGCCCTCTGAATGGCGTTCTCGGGACACATTTCCCACAGATTTACGATTGAGCAAATTGCATCTGCTCTGCAAGACTGGGAATGAGCGCCCGCCTTCAAATGCACTCGCCTGCTCGTCGGCCTAGATGCCAATGAGACCTACCTGCAACCGGGGGGCGTCCTCGGTAACACCACGCTCTCGTGCACAGGCCGGGGGGAGCAGATTCTCCAGTGGTTCTTAGACCGTGACGTCTACACTTGCCTTTGCAGCAGATGCATGCTCCCTCGCATCCCTTACATTCCATTGCAGGGAGTCGGGTATTTGTACGATGTAGAACCATTACTGCGGTAGTAGTAGTAGTAGTAGTAGTAGTAGTAGTAGTAGTAGTAGTAGCAGTAGTAGAAGAAGAAGAGCTTCAGTCGACTGATTGCCCAGACAGCGAGAAAGAGAGAAAGAGAGAGGGAACAGAGAGAGAGAACGAGAAAGAGATAGAGGGCAGAGAGAGAGAGAGAGAGAGAGAGAGAGCAAGGAAAAGAGAGAGCGAGAGAGAGAGAGAGAGATTTTGGCTCAAGAGCTTGGACCAACATCCTGAGCCATTCCTAGCGATAGGCATGCTGCGGATTCGGAGCGTGTCTGGCGAAGATCTCGTGATCTCGTGGCGATTGATGTGGCGAGCTTTCTGGAGACACTCTCTTCAGAGCTTAAATCCCAAATCTGAAAAGTTCCTAAACCCCGACCACACCCCCAAATCTTAAACTCCGCATTTTGAGCCCCCTGCGCCGCCATGGTCGCACCAGTGACAGACGAGAAGAGTGTGCGAGAGCTGTCGAAGGGCCTGCACAGCTGGTTTTCCGAGGGGCTGCAGATCCCGATCCGGAAGCGGGACGAAAAGGTGTTCGCAGCTTTCCTCGGTGTGCTGCGCAGCTCCAACCCGCTCTTCAGCCAGAGAGCCGCCAAAACAGACCTGCGCAAGCCCTATACCTTTTGATATATTCCTGGACGCAGACAACAAAGCCACGCACGAAAGCAAGCTCTGGCGATTACTGTTGTGGCTTTTTCTGGGCATTGGCAGATGTCAGCACAGAGCTTGGCATGCAATCAAAGGTATGCCTTGTGCCAAGTCGCACACAGGGCAAAAGACTCAACCGCGGGAGGTGCTGCGCTTTGTTTGCCCAACTGTAGCTGCCGCGGCTCGCTCATGAGCATGATCGTCTCGCACGGGCTGGACAAGAAATCTCGCCTCGCCACCAAGAGGTTTTTCTGCTTGTACGTGCGGCACGCACAATTCCCGCCTTGGTCCGCGCGTTTCAAGATGGCCCGGAGCAGTTCCACGCCATGGTGGCCAAGATGCCAGGGCTCCGCGGTGAGCTGTCCAGTACAGGAGCTCCTACGTAATCATGGCTGTGGCAGAGAGCTAGGGTGGGGCGATTTTCGTTGCCTTTTGGGGCGCCAAGAACTGTGCCAAAACATACCTGACGGTGCCACTCAAAACTGGCAGGGCAACCGCCGCGTACTGTATATCACTTGGCCAAGCTCTGTCCCAAGCTGGAGAAGACCATCGGAAACTGCACAACTTCCTGCCAAGCTGAAGAAGAAAGTTGACATCTTCGACGTCGAGCCAGCCCGGTGTGGTGCGTTTATCCATGCGAAGCAGGTTCAGGCCTTGCGTGCCATGGGCAGCACTGACTGGAAGCGGTGAGGCGTCTGCCCGTTCCCGCAGGTTTCATCGCTTACACGGCGGCTGCGGGCGTGCCTGATCCGGAGAACGTGCAGCATTTGTTGAAACAAGTTGCGGGGGCAAGTTGCTTAGCTCTCAAGGACATGTCCTACAAAGACATCAAGATCACCATGCTGCCGAAAGCACCGATGACCAACAGAAGCTCGTGCTGTCCGGGCGCTGAAGCACACCACACTAAGGTGACGCATCAAGATGAAGTGGCACGACTGCACTTTGCGTCCTGGAACCTGGGCGGCATGAGCCCGGACAAAGTCCTTGATCTGTTGGTCGGCTTCCAGGGTTGCCCTGCACTTTCAGTACTTTAGGTGATTGTTCTTCAAGAGATTGTCACCTCAGGGGATGAACCCCATTTCGATCACAACGACACATGGACTCTCGCGCATAGCAAACAGCCCTCTGAGTGGCCTTCTCGGGACACATTTCCCACAGATTTACGATTGGGCAAACTGCATCTGCTCTGCAAGACTGGGAATGAGCGCCCGCCTTCAAATGCACTCGCCTGCTCGTCGGCCTAGATGCCAATGAGACCTACCTGCAACCGGGGGGCGTCCTCGGTAACACCACGCTCTCGTGCACAGGCCGGGGGGAGCAGATTCTCCAGTGGTTCTTAGACCATGACGTCTATACTTGCCTTTGCAGCAGATGAATGCTCCCTCGCATCCCTTACAATCCATTGCAGGGAGTCGGGTGTTTGTACGATGTAGAACCATTAATGCGGTAGTAGTAGTAGTAGTAGTAGTAGTAGTAGTAGTAGTAGCAGTAGTAGCAGAAGAAGTAGTAGTAGTAGTAGTAGTAGTAGTAGTAGTAGTAGTAGTAGCAGTAGCAGTAGTAGTAGTAGTAGTAGTAGTAGTAGTAGTAGTAGTAGTAGTAGTAGTAGTAGTAGTAGTAGTAGTAGTAGTAGTAGTAGTAGTAGCAGGAGTAGAGTAGTAGTAGAAGAAGAAGAAGAGCAGCAGTCGACTGATTGCCCAGACAGCGAGAAAGAGAGAAAGAGAGAGGGAACAGAGAGAGAGAACGAGAACGAGAAAGAGATAGAGGGCAGAGAGAGAGAGAGAGAGAGAGAGAGAGAGAGAGAGAGAGAGAGAGAGAGAGAGAGAGAGAGAGAGAGAGAGAGAGAGAGAGAGAGAGAGAGAGAGAGAGAGAGAGAGAGAGCAAGGAAAAGAGAGAGCGAGAGAGAGAGAGAGAGAGAGAGATTTTGGCTCGAGAGCTTGGATCAACATCCTGAGCCATTCCTAGCGATGGGCATGCTGCGGATTCGGAGCGTGTCTGGCGAAGATCTCGTGATCTCGTGGCGATTGATGTGGCGAGCTTTCTGGAGACACTCTCTTCAGAGCTTAAATCCCAAATCTGAAAAGTTCCTAAACCCCGACCACACCCCCAAATCTTAAACTCCGCATTTTGAGCCCCCTGCGCCGCCATGGTCGCACCACTGACAGACGAGAAGAGTGTGCGAGAGCTGTCGAAGGGCCTGCGCAGCTGGTTTTCCGAGGGGCTGCAGATCCCGATCCGGAAGCGGGACGAAAAGGTGCTCGCAGCTTTCCTCGGTGTGCTGCGCAGCTCCAACCCGCTCTTCAGCCAGAGAGCCGCCAAAACAGACCTGCGCAAGCCCTATACCTTTTGATATAGTCCTGGACGCAGACAACAAAGCCACGCACGAAAGCAAGCTCTGGCGATTACTGCTGTGGCTTTTTCTGGGCATTGGCAGATGTCAGCACAGAGCTTGGCATGCAATCAAAGGTATGCCAGGTATGCCTTGTGCCAAGTCGCACACAGGGCAAAAGACTCAACCGCGGGAGGTGCTGCGCTTTGTTTGCCCAACTGTAGCTGCCGCGGCTCGCTCATGAGCATGATCGGCTCGCACGGGCTGGACAAGAAATCTCGCCTCGCCACCAAGAGGTTTTTCTGCTTGTACGTGCGGCACGCACAATTCCCGCCTTGCGGAGCAGTTCCATGCCATGGTGGCCAAGATGCCAGGGCTCCGCGGTGAGCTGTCCAGTACAGGAGCTCCTACGTAATCATGGCTGTGGCAGAGAGCTAGGGTGGGGCGATTTTCGTTGCCTTTTGGGGCGCCAAGAACTGCGCCAAAACATACCTGACGGTGCCACTCAAAACTGGCAGGGCAACCGCCGCGCACTATATCACTTGGCCACAAGCTCTGTCCCAAGCTGGAGAAGACCGTCGGAAACTGCGCAACTTCCTGCCAAGCTGAAGAAGAAAGTTGACATCTTCGACGTCCAGCCAGCCCGGTGTGGTGCGTTGATTATGCATGCGAAGCAGGCTCAGGCCCTGCGTGCCATGGGCAGCACTGACTGGAAGCGGTGAGGCGGCTGCCCGTTCCCGCAGGTTTCATCGCTTACACGGCGGCTGCGGGCGTGCCTGATCCGGAGAACGTGCAGCACTTGTTGAAACAAGTTGCGGGGGCGAAGTTGCTTAGCTCTCAAGGACATGTCCTACAAAGTCATCAAGATCACCATGCTGCCGAAAGCACCGATGAACAACACAAGCTCGTGCTGTCCGGGCACTGAAGCACACCACACAGAGGTGCCGCATCAAGATGAAGTGGCACGACTGCACTTTGCATCCACTGAATGGCGTGGATGCGGTTGCCTACCGCAACACCTTGGGGTCCCATGAATCTTCAAATACCTGCCTGGCTGCCGCCTGCGCAGGAGTCCTGCGCCAACATGATAAAAAGACCATCGGTCTGATCTCGGGACACAGTTCCCACAGATTTACGATTGAGCAAACTGCAGCTGCTCTGCAAAACCTGGGAAAGAGCGCCCGCCTTCAAATGCACTCGCCTGCTCGTCGGCCTAGATGCCAATGAGACCTACCTGCAACCGGGGGGCGTCCTCGGTAACACCACGCTCTCGTGCACAGGACGGGGGGGAGCAGACTTTCCAGTGGTTCTTAGACCATGACGTCTACTTGCCTTTGCAGCAGATGCATGTTCCCTCGCACTTCCTGTACAATCCAGAGCTCTCAGCCCGTCGCATTGACTACGCGGCAGCAAAAGGGATCCATGTGCATCAGGTTGAGGTAGGCAGCGCTAGGGACCGTGCGTCATCCGATCACGAGCCTATCATAGCCAGTGCACTTGCATCCTCCCCGCCAGGCCCTAGGACTGGAGTCATTTGGTGTGCCCGTCAGCTTAAATCCGAATGCCGCCATTTGCTTGAGCATTTCCAATCTTTCAGGGT